AAAACATTGATCTTTTCTGAAATATTTGCAGTTGTTTGCAAAATTACTTTTCAAATACTATTTCGGCAAAAGAATAACGATATGGCGAATCATCTTAGCAGTATATTTGCAAAATTAATTTCACAAAGAAATTGTTCAATAATTGAGAAAAGAAATTCAGATATGTGATGTTTAAAATATGTAGAAATATGATTGCATATAAAGAAATGCAAGAAATCGTCGTCACTCATGATGTCATATTTGTGCAATATTTTTACAATTTGCTTATTGGAGGTATATACTGTGGAAATGCATAACGACTGTTTCGCAATTTTTGACAAATATTATTTACAAAAATTTTATTTCGACAAAACTTTTGCGTTATGGCGAATCATCTTAGTGCAATCATTGCAAAATCGTCGCCATTCGAGATACCATTTTTGTGCAATATTTTCACAAATGTGCCTGTTAGGGATTATAATTTACAAAAAAATTAATGTATCTACAACATTATAGAGTAAACGTCATACGACTTTAAGAGTTGTTTTTTCCGCATTTTTTATGTACTTGTGTTTCTCCGTTTTGAACGTGGTGTTCAAGAGATTCACGAATTTTTCGCGGTACTCGTTGATTTGTTTGGGCGTGGGCGACGGTATCTTCGGTAGCTACAAGAGACTTCCGACTGAAAACCGTCATTTTATCAGACTAGCGCGTTCTTATCTTTCTCACGACTTTTTTTGTATTAATATACACGTTATGATACGCGTAAAAAGATTTAAAGTAATAAATAGACCAAGATTTAAAGTAACAAATAGTCTTCTATCTATTGATGGAGGTAGATAAAATAATGATTTTCACTAATGAGTGAAAGACACAACGCAGACGTGTAGAATTTTCTTTTAATCTTTATTCAGCAGTTATTTTTATTACAAAGCAAAAAATTTTGATAAAATTCTATATAAAAAATTCTCTATAAAAGATATAAAACACTTTTTCAATTTTTTCTTCTACGATGTTAAAGTCAAAAAATTGTACAAACCTTCTACCACTGCGGTTGCAAGTGTCCCAATCGTGATACATCCACACAAGATGCAGCAGCACGATGTAGCGTGTGGTTTGCGTAAAGAACAGAAGATAGCTCGCAATAAAAAAATCCAAAACAGCCGCAAAAAATCCGAGGAAAAGCCACAAAGCCGCAGCGAGAGTCTGCAATCTTCTTTCCAAGCGATACGTGTTTTTCAGCGGAGCGAATCTCACGCTCAAAATTTTCATCTCGTCGAGAGATCTAGTTGATCTCATCGCACAACTCACTCAAGTCAAAAGTTCAAATTCCACTGCCGATCGGATGCGTTAAATCTGACAACTATACATATATATATATATATATATATAATATATATATATTAATAATTATATAATATATATTATATTATAGGGTGACCAATGGGAATGTGTTGAAAGTAAATAGTTATATATCCCCTTCTCGATTTCGGTAACTGTTTTACCGACTAGGGTCCGCTACCTAAGACCCGTCAATTTCATTTGAACCGTCGTATAAACCGATTTGCGAGTTATAGGATGGACGC